AAAAGAGGAAAGGGCCTCATTCCAGAACCTGAGAAATACTACTAGGTCATAAGCCATATGGACCCATTAGGAGAGTCCACCCTTAAACTGAAAAGTCATCTGACCAGCAGGAGGCAACTTAAAGCTCTCTGAGCACATAATATATGCAGGTTAATTTTCCATAGTGACTCTTGCCACTTTTAAGGAGCTATTATGGTCTATTCACTGAATTGATGTCCTGACCATCCCCCACCCCTGAGTGTCAGGAGGCAGGAGGAGTCTGAAACTACTTTTAAGACTCAGATGGCCAAAGCGTCAGAACTTCCATCTTCTCCCAAGAGAGGTGTCATCCTTTCTCAGGAGCACCCTCCATTGATCTCCATTCTTTCCTGGCATGTATCTAAAACCTTCCTATAGCTTTTGAATCCATCCATCCTTCTGGCCAACCACCGGAGAGATCTCATTGTCTTAGTCTTAAAGTACCTGGAACTGAGCATATGCTCATGAATTAAACAAAGGAGTTAACAGACAACCTAGGTTTCAGGGAGCCCAGGCTAGCATTTCGGTCAAGTGTACAGAGACCCTGTCTGGTGCCATATGCCATTTTTTTGGTCTCTGAAAACATAGGAGGCAGAGTTTTGCCCAACACAATTAAGTGCTTAAAAGCTCCATTTTTGTGATTTGCTTTCCACAAATCTCTTCTTCTCCAATTATAGCCAAGTAGAAGGCAGACTGTGAGACTGCACCAACCAGCCCAGCAGACAGACATAGAGCCACAAACAATAGCCCAAATTCAACCCAATTGCTCAACAGAGATCCTTGACAGATGGGTGTGTCCCCAGATCAGTGAGTTATGAGGTTTGGACACAGAACTGACATACAAGATGTGCCTCTCCCTGGCAGTTTCTTTGGGAAAATCTGTGCTCAAACACACTAAGGATTATCTAGGAAAGAGCAGGCGTGGAGCCCAGGGACCAGGTCTCCAAGAGGAGCTCTCGTTTTTTTCATAAGGAGACAGGAAGAGACCGTGGGGAGCTCTCAGAGATAAATCCAGGTCTGGTTCAGCTGCTGAGATGCCGCCAGGCCAATTAAATAATTGGTGTGATGGGGAAAAGAGAGAGGCCACGCCCTCAGGCCAACTCCCTCCCCCACTCCACCCACCAGAGGAAGGCTCCTTGCAGCTGCTACAACAGCAGTAGCATGAACAGGGCAGGGATGGCTGCTTCCCACTAAGCTGAGAACTAATGCTTAAATTAGCACCTTGGAAACACCCAGATCTGCCCGCTGTGCCTTCTCTTCCAGCTCATGCCACTCCTCTGGGCCTCCTTTTAAGCTCGAGTTTCTCTTTCAAGTAAATGATAAAAATAAAATAAAGATACTCTCCCCTCAGAGCTCATTTTTCCAAGTGAGGGATGGCCTCTGGATTCTTCCCACTACTGTGAGTAGGGGAGGTTTATTTGATGATCGAGCCCATATGACAGGCCTATACAAGTACAGCTTAGTCCGGAAAGAGAGAATGATGCTGACACCAGCATTGCCTCATTTCCTTTAGGGTTTAAGGAGACAGCCCCCTTTCAGCCCTCAGAGAGGTTCACCCTGAGGGAGTAAGCAAGAACAATAAACTTCTGTTGAACTGTGAGCTTCAGGAAGGCAGGGCCATATTTGCATCTTGTTGTTAACCACTGTGTTCCTAACACCTAGTGCAGTATTTAGAACAGAGCAGATGCTCAATAAATATAAGGTGGATGAATTTTCAGAATCAGTAATATCAAGTCCCTATGAGATTCTTTGGAAGAGAGAGTGAGGAGCTTTGTTTAAACTTTAAAGAGATCGTTTGTCTTCATTTAGTAAATGGGAAAACTAAGTCCAAAGAAGAGGAGAGACTTCCTTGATAGAGGTCTCAATAAATAATGGCAAGAAATAAAATTGGTCACAGTTGAGTTCAAGCTGGGGCCCTAGTTTTTATGGTCCACCCAAATACTCCTAACAAGCCATTTTTGCCTTTCTCTTCTATGGTATACCATCTTGATTCCTTATACCCCGAAATGAAGGCTCTTGGGGAAACACCACATAAAATCCTGCTGGTCTCAACAACATTCAGAGCATTTAAGGAGTTTTGGGAGTCCTTTGGGCCTCAACCTGGGAACAACAATCAAGAAACAGAAATCTGTAGGTCAATGCCGATGGCCCTCAAATGGGGGGTGGCTGAATTATTACCCCCATAAGGCTCTCACTCAACTGCAACAAAGCAGCCCCTAGCAGAGAAGGACTCCTTTAAGCTTCAAGAAAAAGGTCTGAAGGCAATTAGTTTTTCTGATTAATATCTCCTTGCACTTCTACTCCAGAGCCACTGCTTGGGAGTCTTCCAGGACCACTACTCCCTCAAACCATCATTAAAAACTTTAGGCAATGCTGGAGGCACCAAGGAAAACTGAGAGAGCCCAGTGATCCAATTCTTTCCCCCCTTTCCCTGCACAGTTATTGCCTCCCTTTTCAGGAACCCCAGATGGGAGGCAAGAACCAATTCATTGGGCTCTTCTGACTCACTTGGATGTCCTCCTCCTCCTCCTCCTTCATCCACTCTCCCTTTGGGTTCTTGATTAGGTGCTTAGAATTGGAAGGGTAATCTAGTTTGACAAACCAGGTTGGCTGGAAAAATAATCCAGAAAGGAAAGTCCTCTTAACCCAGCCCAAAGTTCTTCAATATTATGGGATACACTTGGCACCAAGTTTTTCTGACCCCCTAGATAATCCAACGATGGCATCAGGCTGGCATCCCTCTCCCCAGTTTAATATGATACACTCTGTGCAGCTTCTCTTTTGGCTTCTGGAACTGTCTAAGTAGTCACAAAAGGGGGGAATGACTTCTATCTCCTGCCAGGTAGCCTCTAGCGATTCTCTCTGCCATCTCCCAGAAAGTGTGGCTTAGAGTGGGTCATGGATTCCTACCAAGGCCTGTCTTGGCTGCTGTAATGGGCAGGTTGCTCGGGAAGCCACAAAGCACATCTGTCAGCCAGGGGCCTGGAGGCCCAAGCATAGAACCTGTTCCTCGCCTCCTGGCCTAGCACAGAGGGAAGAGCCTTAGGGAGCCCAGTATCTGCAAGTCCTGGAGAGCTCTGCTAGGTTCCAACAGAACTCAGAGAATAGGGCACCAACCTTTAGGTGCCTGGCCTGCCCTGACTCCTTCCAGCTCCCCATAAGACTCCAGGGGGAAAGAGAAGGGAAAGAGAAGGAAAAGCGAATGAGAACACAGGGCGCTCCCTGGATCCTCCCCCCACCCCCTCCCCTCTCTCTCTGTCTATCTCTCTCTCTCTCTCTTCCACTAGGCGGCGGGCAAGCCAGTCAGGTGCTCCCCCTCTCCTCCCGCCGCGGTGGGCAGCGGGCTCGGCCTGCCCTGGGCCTGGCCACGGTGCGCCCGCCTTGCCCTCCCCCTTCCATGCCCTCTGCGCCGGCAGCGATGACATCATTCCTCCCAGACTCGGGGACCGCGGGCCGGCGGTCGGATCTGGCGCCCAGCAAGGGCTCCAAACACGTAGGCCTAGGATGATGGGGGCTCTTCCAAAAGGGCCCGGCGCAGCCCTGTCCCCTCGCCTGTCGGTTCGGGAGCCCCTCTCATCCGCGCCTCAGATTCTCCATCTCGTCTCTGCGCGCTCTCCTTCCCGGCTGCCGTGCCGCCGGCTTAGACTACCTGCGCTCTCCTCCGGAAAAGGGAATTCCCGGGTCCTGCACAGACCTCTGCCCCTACGGATCCCTGCCCCCACAGATCCCGCCCCCCACAGATCCCGGCCCCCACAGATCCCTGTCCCCACAGATCCCGGCCCCCGCGTTCCCATCCATACCCAGCAAACTGGCGGGCCGGCCCCTCCTCCGCTACGAGCCTATTCCCAGTACCACTCAGCCGACAGCCCTCCAGTCCCCTCCCCCGCTCTGAGCATCACAGGCCTCCCGGGCGAAACGCCTTCCCATCGCTCACGCCAGCCCACCGGGCCTGCCGCCCATGGCGCCCCATGACAATTCCCTTTCTTTCCCCGCCACGGGCCTCCGTTGGTGGTGTGCACCATTGTGCCCCTCTCGGTTCCTCCCTCGGCCTGCCTCCTCAGGCCGTGCCCCCCGCCCTTACAGGCCCCTTTGCGGTCACCTCGCGGATTCTCCCACGGTTTTCAGGTTCTGAGGGTCACCCTCCCCAAGTGATATGTTTTCATGGCTCTCTCTGCCCCATAGAAGGTGCTCCCTTAGTTCCCGAGGCCTGATTCCCTTCCTCCTCCTCCTCCTCCTCCTCCTCCTCCTCCTCCTCCTCCTCCTCCTCCTCCTCCTCCTCCTCCTCGGGCGGCGCCCCCTCCCGGCCTGGTCTGCCCGCCGCCCGCCCCCTCACCAGCGGCTGCATCTCCGAGTGCGCGGTGGGCACCTGGAACCGGTCGATCTCCTCCATCATGGTGCCGGCGAGCGAGCGAACCCAGGCCGGGCGCGGCCGGGGACGCCAACGGGACCGCGCGGGGCGGCAGCCCCAGGAGCCGGTGGGGTGGTGCAGACTAGGCCGCCCTGGACGAGGAGGGCGGGCGGCCGGGCGGCGGCCGAGCAGACCGGCGGGTGGGAGCGGCGGGGCAGGAGTTTCGCTGGCGGGGTGAGGCCCGCGTGGCTCCGTGGACTTGCCTAGCACCACCGCGGCTGTGGCGGGGCAGAGCCGCCGGCCTGGCCTCGCCTCCTCCTCCGCCACCGCCTCCTGTCAACAGCTCAGCCACTGCGGTGACTCGGCAACTCCACTTCCGGGTCCGGGCACCGCCTGGATGTGCATTATTCATGAGGGGGCGGGGTCTGGGCGCCCCGGCCCCGCCTACATGCAGGGGCTACGAATGCGCGCGGCCGCGGGTCCACTCATTCTGAGGGGGCGGGACTTAGCGGAGCGGAGCTTCCCCGCACGCCCTGCCCCGCCACCCGCTGAAGCCGTTAGGGGGCGTCCGAGGCGCCTGCGCCCTGGCTGCCGGTTGGTTGCTAGGTAACCGCGTCCGGGAGGAGCCGATTAGCTCTGGCAAAGGTGGGGAGACCCACAGCGATCGCTGTTCCCCAAAGATCGCTGTTTCCTGGGACCGAGAATTGAAGTGAAAGTGAATCCGGATTTCTCGTGCGTGATCGAGGGGACGGACAAGCTTCCTGTCTTCAGGAAAGGGAGCGTTTTGTAGACGCTCCCAAGTGTTAAGGTGCTACCTGCTTCTTTGAAGATGCCCTACAAACCGCAGCAACGTAAGCTGGTAACACTCCAACTTGTTCTCTTGTAAACTCTGACCTTCACCGCCAATGACTACTGATCATACCTCTCCTACTGGTCCCTCAAATTCTTTTCCCTGTTGACCCCTAACCTTCTCTCTCCTTGTGACTCCTGGCCTGTGTCCCCCACAAGATCTCGGACCCTTTTCTATTCTCTCCTACCAGTCCTAGCCTTCTCTCCCACACTTCCACGGATCCACTGTTTCCTACAGTTCACTCGTCCTCCCTCACCATTCCATTACCTCACTCGACTCCACTGATCCATCCTGACCAGCCCATCCTCCTTAACTCCCCACCCCCACTCCCACTACTAGGCCAACATGTACCACTATTGCCCTCACATTCGTGTCCCAAAAAATTATTTTTCCAGCACTTTGCTGTGTGAACCAGTGCTGGGCTAAGTGTGGACACAGACCTTTGGGAGCCCACAAAGGAAGTACAAGAGAACTAACTGTACAGGAGACACAGGACAGATTGTGCGCCAGAGTTTGGTTTAGATATTCTGTGCTGGGAGACTTGTGAAGAGAGACAGGTCAGGTAAAGAGGAAAAGGAGAGAGTCCTCTTTCCCATCCCTGCCCCCATTCACACATTGCACACCCCAAACATTTCCCCCCAACTACTTCTGGAGCCTCATATGTCTCTCTTCCTTGGGAGCCCCTGGTCCATCCAGCTGTATGAACTTGTTCTTGTTGCCAACTGGCCAGATGTCAATCCTTCTCACAGGAAACCCGAGAGTCACCCCCACCCCCTCCCCGCTTACCCATTCAGCACAGAAAGCTTTCCTCCCCAGCATTGATTTTATTTTATTGATTTTTTTTACAGCGAGGAAGGGAGAGAGATAGAGAGCTAGAAACATCGATGAGAGAGAAACTTGGACCAGCTGCCTCTTGCACACCCCCTACCAGGCATGTGCCCGCAACCAATGTACATGCTCTTGACCGGAATCGAACCTGGGACCTTTCAGTCCGCAGACCGACGCTCTACCACTGAGCCAAACCGGCTTCGGCTATTATTGACAGTATTATAGATATCCTCCATTATTCCCCCTTTCCCCCCTCCACCCATCCCTCACCCTACCCAGGCCTTCTCCACACTATTGTCTGGGTCCAGTTTGTTTTAAGTTCAGCATTACTGAGGTCTGGTTTACATACAATAAAATGGACCATTTTAGTTGTCCATGTTGACAAGGTTTGACAAATTTGTACATTTGCGAACCACCACTACAATGAAGATATAGGACACTTCCTCTACCCAGATAAGTTCCCCCGTGCCTCATCGCAGTCAGTTCTCCTGAACCCCCCACCCCAGATAACCACTGATCTGCTTTCTGTCACTACAGGTTAGATTTGTCTTTTCTAGCACTTGCGGTTTGAACAAGCTTGGGATGAGTTTTTATAGCCCATTAGGGGAGACATTAGAGGCTAATTACACTGAGAGCAGAGAGAGGTGGCTGCAGACAGGAAGCAGAGAAACCTAGGTTACCTGGCCCAGCAAACACCGATGCTTTCCCCTCCCCACACCCTCAGGGTTGTTTTAGTGCAATGGAAATATCGGTAGGTGGGGAGTGAGAAAAGGCTGGGTTGTGCAAGGTTGTATTCATCACCTTCTCCTTTCAGTAAAGCCCAGTCTAGGTCAGTGATGAGCAAATCAGTCTAAAGAGGGGAGACCGAACTCAGGTATATAATTACAAGTGAGTGGGATCCCTGGAGCTGAGGAGGGAGCCATGCAGGTTGGAGCAGCAGAAAAGCTTTAGGAAGGAGGCAGCTATGACTCGGATGCCTGCACTGGAGAGGGAAGATCAGTGTTGGGTTTATTAGGGGACAGAGACGTGTTTAGACTACACTGTTCACTGATCAGACCTTTCAGTAGCTCCCTCTTGCTCTTAGAAAAAACTCCCTAAAGTCCAACTTGCTTTGTATGGTCTGCAAGGCCTTGCAAGGGTTGGCCTTCGCTTCCTATCCTACTTCAGATCTCACCATCGCTCTGTGAAAATTCCACAGCCACAGCACACTAAACTGCCCTCACTTCCTGGAAAGTGCCATCCACTCTTTCTCCTCTAGGTCTCTGAAAATGCTGTTTCCTGTGCCTGCCTGCCTAGTACAATCTTTTCTGTCTGTTACCACCTGCTCCATGCCATTGCGCCCCAAATCTCTCTTAAAAAAAAAAAAAAATATATATATATATATATATATATATATATATATATATATAAAATTGATTTTTTTACAGAGAGGAAGAGAGCTAGAAACATCGATGAGAGAGAGTGTCATCGATCAGCTGCCTCTTGCACACCTCCCACCTGGTATATGCCCGCAACCAAGGTACATGCCCTTGACTGGAATCGAACCCGAGACCCTTCAGTCCACAGATCGACACTCTATCCACTGAGCCAAACTGGTTTCGGCCCCAAATCTCTTTTTTATCTCCTCTTCATATATCAGGTCTCAGATTTGCCACCATATTCTCCACAAGGGATTAAGTACCCTTTTAGGAGGCAGGAACAGGTAATATCCCCCCTAGAATATAAACTCTGTGATGACAAGGATCACCTTTGTCTTGTTCATGTTGATTCTCCTGAACATAACACAATGTCTGGAATATATTAACTTCTGAAAATGAGTTAATTTGGAAAATTTGGAAACCGTTGCTTGGAAATTTTGCTCTGAGTGTTTGCAGGATAGGAAGGGATGAACCTGGGATGGGGAGACAAGTGGGGAGAGATAATAAGGGAATGTCACAGTAGAAGCATGTTTTTCCAGGTTCATGCAAATATCTGCTTTGACAGGGCTATGGATGATTAATATTTGAACCACATATACCCATGCCTTAGAATTTGGGTGTTGGAGATTAAGAGATCAGAAATTCTGATGATAAATAGCCATTCTCCTTTTTAAAAAAATTTTTTTTTTAATTTGTGGAGTGCTGCTATGTACAAGGTACTGTTCTAGGTATTAGTAATAGAGCAACAAACAAAAGAAACAGAAACCCGTGCTTTCATGGATTTTAACTTTTCAGGAGGTAAGTTGTCAGTAAACAAATAAGTAAAATATACAATAGTTTGTCAGATGGTGTAGTAGGTGTCAAGAATAAAACAGGAAAATAGACTAGGAAGTTCAAGGGTTCAGAAGATTATGATTTAAATATAGTGGTCAGGCCAAAATCGGTTTGGCTCAGTGGATAGAGCATCAGCCTGCAGACCGAAAGGTCCCAGGTTCTATTCCAGTCAAGGGCATGTACATTGGTTGCAGGCACATCCCCAGTAGGGGGTGTGCAAGAGGCAGCTGATCGATGATTCTCTCTCATCGATGATTCTAACTCTCTATACCTCTCTCTTCCTCTCTGTAAAAAAATCAATAAAATATATTTAAATAAATAAATAAATAAATAAATAAATAAATAAATAAATACAGTGGTCAGGGAAGGCCTCATACATGTGACATTGAGAAAGAACTGAAGGAAATTAAAGAGTTAGCTATGTGATATCTGGGGGGAAAGCATCCCAGACAAAGGGCACAGCAAGTACAGAACCTGAGATAGGAGCTTGCTACACATGTTCTGGATCAGCAAGGAAATGGGAGGAGGGAAGTGGCAGGAAATAAGTTCAGAGAAGTGTATCCCTCTACCCCAGAGGGTTAATCAGATAACTCATGGCATATTAAATTGCTCATGATGAAGCTGCATGAATAATAATGTGTCATTAAAATGCATGAATGTCAAGCACCATAAACCATGACCAGCTCAAAACATCACTAGTAATGCCCCAATAACAAAGTGTCCTTCCTGAAAATTGCAAGAATTCTAACTAGCTGCATGTGTGTATATGCAGGAGGAGCTTTGCAAAGTTGCCAAATAGTGCCTGGCAGCCAGACTTCTTAGTAGAGAACTGAATTGGAGTCTTCTATGGACTCCAGTTAAAAGCTAATTTTAGTTTATGGCTAACAAATTTTAGTACTCCTTTGTAACTCAGTTGGTTACCATAAAAAATTTGAAAGTCTAGAATTTTGAGTCAGTTGCCTGTAAGAGCTAAATAAAAGACTCACATTTTTTTATCATTTTGTCCCTCCAGAGATCCCTCTGAGACAATACCTCTAGTATTCTTGATCTTGATGAGGGCTGACTAGGTAGGAGCGAGTGGCCAAGAATAAATACAAGGCCAAAAGAGAGTATTAGATAATTCAGAGATTTTGAATCTGGTGACTGGGCCTGGGATCCATAGAAAAGAGGACAGGAGAGGGTGAGCAGAATCTAAGAGAAGTTGATATGTTTCTATATGTCCAAAGTATGATATCCTCACTCTCGTGACTTTTCTCTTTAGTATTATCCTTATACCTCTCTGGTTTCTCAAGTCTTAAAGAGAAACATTTGCCCCTAAACCTCCTAAATATCTCTTGAATTAAACCAATTTTTTTTTTCACACTCATTGAACCCCTCTAGCCCAACTTACAATCATCTCTCCCCCAGAGTGCTGTGAAAGCCTTGTAACTGGTATTCCTCTCACCCACTCACGCTCCTTACAATCTATTCTCTACACTGCATCAAGTGATATTTTCAAACTATCAACCTAGCCGAAACCAGTTTGGCTCAGTAGATAGAGCGTCGACCTGTGGACTGAGGGGTCCTGGGTTCGATTCCAGTCAAGGGCATGTACCTTGGTTGTGGGTATATCCCCAGTAGGGGTTGTGCAAGAGGCAGCTGATCGATGATTCTCTCTCAGCAATGTTTCTTACTCTCTATCCCTCTCTTCCTCTCTGTAAAAAATCAATAAAACAATCGAAACCGGTTTGGCTCAGTGGATAGAGCATCGGCCTGCAGACTGAAAGGTCCCAGGTTCGATTCCGGTCCAGGACATGTACCATTGGTTGCGGGCACATCCCCAGTGGGGGGTGTGCAAGAGTCAGCTGATCGATGATTCTTTCCCATAGATGTTTCTGACTATCATTCTCTCTTTCTCCCCGTAAAAAATCAATAAAATTTTTTTTTAAA